CTTGGGCTCCAGGGAAAGGCTTTTCTCCGTCTTCACAGGGGTCACGCAGGACCATAACCGCAGGTACTGGACACCTCGGTATCGAGCCCGTTGCTCAGGCCGTGCAGAGGTCTGCAGCAGCTGTGACGGCATCTGCGCAGACGTCCCTCCATCTCACCCCCCGTGGCCCAGCACTACACCCATGACAGGATTAGCACCTGCTATACACCATGTGTTAATATCAGAGGTATAAAACGTTAAGGACAGTACTGCTTCCCCGGGGAGGCCCTCAGCTGAAGAAAGATGATGCGATTCCTTCCCTTCAGAAAGTATCAAACGTAGCGGAAAGGGAGACTGTGGCTATAGGTGAAGCACCACCAAACAAAAAGCCTCAGCGCCTGCTTGACTCCCATCCTGGCACGTTACTTGCCACTGGAGGCATAGCTAGAGCTGCCTTATCTATCATCTCAAGCTTCTCATGGTTGTAATAATAAAATAAAAAAATCTTACTTCAGTAAGAAGTCCTCAGTTTGATGGCATTTTCAATGAAAATAAGTACAAAATTGTTCAAGTTTTTCAAAGCTAGTTGAAACAGTCACTTCTGCTGCCAGTTTTCTGTCAGCAGTCTGCTCTCGCCTGTGAGACTGGGATCCAGGAAGGGCAGCAGAACAGGTTGGCAAGGTCTCAGCAGCAACTTACAGGTGCAGAGAACGTCCCTTTTTAGACTACCCAATCCAACGTTTTCAGAAAGGTCTAGTAGAAAGGTTAAGAAATAGCTAGTCCGCTGAAAAACATGGGCACACATAGCATGGTAAATCATTATATACATGATCTAAGAACACATAATAATATAAGCATATGCACAACAGAAACAACCAAGCTAACTCGCTGGAAAAAAAAAGTCAGGCAGCCCCTAAGGAGGCCTCTCTCCAAGGCAAGCTGTGTTTAGACTTCAGATCTATTGGCTACAGAGACTGAAAAAAAACCCGATTTATATCAGAAGGGTATCTCTAGGAAAATAGCCTAATGAATGGTAAAATGCAACAAAATTACTTTCCATACTCTACGAAGTATTCTGCAAAACTTAATCACAAACTTCATTGCAAAAAACTTTTAAGAAATTGTTCTATGGAATAAAACTAGTATTTTCACAACAAATCCTCAACAACTGACAGTGTTACTGATGTTTTATTTTGTTGAGAGCTCTCAAAAAAGTCTCAAAGAATCAAGGTCAGCTTGATCTGCCTCAATTTGCAGTGAGAATAAAGCACAATGGCACAGGAAAAAAAATTGAGAACCTTTAGCCTGGTAGCCTGCAGGAAAATTAATTCAAATATTTCCATTTCAAGATGTATCTCACACCCAGCTTCTCTCTTCTCATAGCACTAAGCAGGCTAGAACAGCCTGTAATGAACTTGTTGACTGCCATTCACTAGATCATTCCTGAGAGAAGAAGTCACAGTTACTAAGTTTATGGCTTAGCTCGCCAGGGTCAGTATTTGGAATGATAAAACTTAAAAGAACGCCTTTTAAATTTAAGCACAAGTTTACAGTAATTGTCCAAGTAATTTTTTCATCCCGACATGCATGCAGCAAGCTCCTACCAGGTTCCACTTATCTAGCCACAAATGCTAGATAAGCAGAGAGAATACGGTTGTGATTTAATGTGGACACAGTACTGCTCTCCATCTTAGATTTTTTGTTTACAACATACATTTGAAAATAGGGGTGGATTTGCAGAACTGTTGGACAATATTTCAAATTGTGCTTGTAAACGCTGAATTATTTCAAAAGGTAAAACTCTATATCGATATCTTTTGCTCAGACAGAAGTGGAACCATGCACTTGAATTTTTGCATTTCACTAGTAAATTGAACTGGTGAGAAAGACCATTGTATAACTTGATTTCCAACATCTTACAGTTGAGGGAAGTCTTTTAACCTTTCTTGCTAAACCTCAATTTAGTAAAAAAATTTTCTTCTGAAGCCTTAAGAACTGGAAGTTATTAATTTAATACTTAGCATAAAACGTTAGCTATGTACAACTCAAGTAACCCTTCAATTATTTTTTTATTATCTTACAAGGTCTGAGCATAAGGTAATTGCTTGCCTATGTTCATAAAACTTCCTGCTACGTTATTTTGCAAGTCAGCAATTGTAGAGCTCACCAGTCTTTAACCCGGGGCTATTTTACTTCCCAGTACCTTCATGAGCAGTGCTATCAATCATCTTTTTCCACTCTGCAATAAACTTTTCCTCCATTCAGCTTGCAGAAATCTGGTAATTATCAGTTCTGAGACAGGTCAAGCTATTAAAATCTTTCACCATACAATTCTCACCCTCCCCTCATCAGAAAAACATAACACTGTAAAACTTTTTGGGTATTGTGAAATGTTGGTAATTCAGAAAGAACAGATCTCTTCCCATATCCCTCAACTAACCACTTGAGCCCCAGCAGATGCTGTTCCTCCCCAACCTCATTCACCCTCCCTAGGACCCACAGTCCCCCCACATGCAGGAGTTCCAACTAAGACAAGGGAGCCAAAGGTAGGGTGACAAATTTCAAGGTGATACTCTCCTCTTTTTGTGACCGCTATTTGTCCTGACTGAAGTGCACGACATCTGAAGGTTCTGGCAATGATAAGGTAGTAAAGAACGACACAATTGTCCTGTAATTCTCAGGCACACAACGATTTGTGTTTCAGATCCAGTTATCTTTATTGATTTGTCTATATTGATCCCTGTGAAAGCAAGAGACAAATCAGTCACTGAGCTCGCACATACCTTGCCCTGGAACAAGCACAGAAGGCCACAAGGAGACACTCCTGGAACATCTGTAGTATCAAACACCACGCACAGCACTTCACAGCCAAATTTGATGCAAGCCTTCCATCTTTAAACAAGGTATTATGCCACTTAAATAACTGAAAGCGTTCCCAGGAGTCCCAACTGCACATATCAGGGTCTCCTTAAATTAAAAGTGGCCCTAAGAAGCCTAGCTTTTAAGTTAATCCTCCCTGAACCTGGGACAGCCTTTGACATTTGTGTGTTCACGATGAAACTGGCTAGAGTAGGCAAGATAGATGAAACTGCAGAGAGCTTCTAAAGAGATTGTTCTTCGAAAGCCAGTATATCCTTTCAGTTAGTTTTATGCTGTCCTTGCATGGCTAGGTAATTCATTTTCCTTCTCTTCTCCACATGTCCTGCAGGAAAAGCAGATGGCACAGCCAGCACACCAGATATCTAACAGACAATGATACAATAAAGACCGGCAGTAAGTTTTAAAATTAAGCTATGATAAGTGTTCCCCACAACATATTTAAAAATTAAGCTATGATAACTGAAACCCACTTCCATTTATGATCAATACCTTTTTTTCTTGAAAGGAAAATTCATACCTACATTCATATTTATTACTAACCCTTCAAGGTAGCTTGCTATAGAAATGGCACAGAAGTGGTATCCGTTTCTTATTTGCTTATATATGAGGAATGCTTGGTTTCGGCTTTTCCCTATTAGACAAGATCATCTATACTCCATGAAAATGCTTGGTGTATCTTAAAAGACTATGAGGAAAAGAGTTACAAACTTGAAAAAGGTGTATTTTAAACAAGCTAAGATAGCGTTCAATTAAATGCAGTCAGCTTCTTTAAAAAAACCCCAGTCTTGAAACACTTGAAGCCATTAAAAAAAAACTTTAGAAAGGAGACAAAAAAAATCCGAGTCTAAACCCATTTCTTAACATGCTAAGAACAAGTTCTGAATTCAGGGCAGATTATCTGACCTTCAGGGCTTTCTGCAAAGTTAATCTTTTTATTGAAGCTTTTGGAAGGATGGTAGATTTGGGAAAAAAGGGAAGGAGGCTTCACGGGCAGCATGTCTGGCAGAAAACTTTATAGAAGTTTTAGAGCAGTTTGCTGGGTTGGTAGTTGTGGAAAAACAGTTCCTATGGTAAAAAAACCCTAAGCATATATACGTGCTCATTTGGTCATCCAAACTTAACACTGTTTTATTCCAAAATGAAAAGTAGATACAACAAATTAACACAATTTCCTCAAGATTTTGTTTCTTCAAGTAGGATTTCATAACATAGTAGTTACGAACATTACGGCAATGTGAAGGGCTCATAAATCAGAGTAAGGCATGAAAAGAAGCTCTTATCTAACCTGAAGTTGGTTTAGCAAATGCACATTACATCAATGATTTAGTTATTCAAAGGCCTCCGCTTCATGTTATTTCACATTCTAAACATTAGGACTTCCATAAAATAACTGTTCTGCCAGCTCAACTCCAGAGCATGGGAAAGCTTTCTTCAAAGAACATCCCTTGCATTGGTTTACTCTTATCAAAAGCACAAAGCACAGTAGAAATTCTTCACGAAGTACCAGTGAGCAACTTGAACCATATATTTGACATGTAAAAGTAACGGTGTTCTTATGAAGTTTTAAAGTTAAGTTTATTTTCAATAATAAATTATATTAGATTAGTCTGCTTCTTAAGACCATTCAGAGACATGATTTGAATGGACAAAAACCACCTGCTCTGTGGTTGTGCAGTCTGTCATGTCATGTCTCCCCCCACGCTGATGGCCATTTAACAACTCTCTTCAGCCTGTTTAAACTGGAAAACCCTCAGACTGAAAATAGAACAAACCACACTAGTTAATCTCTATCTAATTTACCTGGCTCTGAACAGGTGGAACTGTAATCTTCCGTGTCTGTGTCTAATCCACTGTTCTTCCTTGTGTGTTCAGATTCCTATAAGTTTTTATAAAGGAAAAAAAATTACTTGATGTCCAAAAATGTGACCCAAATTACTAGTTTTCCTGTATTGTGAGAGATAGTAGAGAAAGTAATGACTTGCTGTAGTTTTTACAGGATTCTATTTCCTTCCTGGTTTGGTTAAAACTGCTGCTGTAGCAGCCACACACCACAGTTCAGTGGACAGCTGCTGACTGAAATGCTATCTATGCTGCAACTGCAATTGCAGCTGTCAACACCTTTGTTTAGTTAGTAAAATGTAATCAAGCTATTTTTGAATTTGCATCAATGTTTTTTCCTTCCTAGGCTGCATATT